TCGCACAGGTGATTATCAAAATTTTCTTTAAATCTTTTTTTTTTCTTCACAGGTTGATAAAATGACGAAGAAACGAGGAAGAAGAGAAATCCTCGCCATCCTGGCGAGTGCCTGGTGCAACTGACGAGATCGAGAGGAAAAAATCCCCTGGAAATAAAAAAAAATGACAACTGGATTTTTTCTCGATGAATAATTGATCGATTGGAGTAACCGAGTAACGATATTTCCCCCAGGAGTCAACCAATAATAAATTACCAATAAATAATAACCAGTGAAGGGTAAAGGATAAACAAACAGGAGATGCAGAGATGTTTATGAAATAAATAAATGATGAGGATGGAGTGATTCCTCTGGGATCCACTCGAGGGTGGAAATTGTTCCTGAAGTGTTGGGGAACTCGTGATTTGTGAGAGAATTGTTGGTCAAGGTCGTGAAAGTGAAGTATCCAGGTATCAGTGAAATGGCATTCATGATGAAAAAGAAAAAGTACAAATTTTCGGTTGAAGTTGGCCTTGAGGAGCTCACCGCAGTGCCTTTTGTAAGTGCTGTGCTGTTCGCTAAATTACGACTGCTGGACGGCGGTTCATTCGTTGATCACTCCACTAGGTATGGCATTAACCATTTTTTTAAGTCCTCATTCAATTAGTCATTCACTAACAAGCCAATAATTTTCCACTGATTCATAATAGTTCATTAATTTAATCCTGATTTATGGGAGTTATTTGGTTTTACGATAATTCCTGCTATTTTAAGATTTTCGTTAGTTGAAGAATTTAATGTGAATAATTTTATCTGAATTGGTAATTAATTTGTTCAGTAGGTATGATTAATGATTTTTTTAATGATAATTCAATTGGTTGTTGAAGAATAATTTGTAATAATTAATTAATTTTGTGGAGTTCCGGAATTTCATTGAGACATTTTTTCTCACAAAGCTAAAGATTCATTCGACGAACACCTTCGATTTATTTATTTATACAAATTGCAAAAAGATTGAGAGCCACCATTTTGCATAGCCGAAACCGTAAATTGCGTTGGCAGAAGGAAAAATTAACATAAAACCAATTATTCTAATTAATTCCCACCGATAAGAATTTGAATTCCGGGAAAAAAGCTCATTTCCCTCTAGACTAAAATAAAAAATTGAAAAACCCATTAAACAATAACAATAACTTCCCTCATAAATTCCATCGATAATAATAAAAATAAAAATTGATTAAATTTGATAATTTCGATAGCGAATTGAATTTTTAATTGGTGAATAAATAAAAATGGAATTAGCGGGAAAATTTGAGGGAAACTTTGAGTGGAATTAGCAATTAGCATTCGGCATTGAACTTGAAATATTATGACCTTGAGATTTATGAGTGGAGCGGAAGTGTTGATTTTTGCCAGACCGAAGTGACAGTGATAAAAAAATACTTGAAATTAGCTGATACAGGGACCCATGTGATAATGGACAATGTCCTGTCGACAAGTCCCTCGACAATGCACGTTCCACATACGCATGATGAGGAAAAGTATGATTACAGAACAGATAAAGGCCTCCAAAG